TCAAACAAACACCTGAAGTTTCATCATGTGACCAAGGGGATGCTGCAATGGTTGTATGAAAAACTGCCATAACACACTTTTTTTCAGTGTTGCTGTAACTTTGAACAGTCACTAAATGAACTGTTGTAAGTTGAGGACTACTTGTACTAGCAACCAATGTAGTTCAAGGAGTGTCACGTGTGCCAAAGACTGCCAGTTCCTATAGCTGGGCCATTAACCCATCCCATAACTGCCTATTATGCTACTAAGAACTTCAGGATACTTTGTTGCTTTTAGTAAGGTCCCTCTAAAGTTCAGTCTTGCTCCACTAACTTTGTGGATGTGACAAAAATAGCATCTGATATTTTTTTTAAAAAAAATTGAATACGATCAACCTATATCACCATTTGCTTTCAAAAAGCAATTTGCCATTTTCCACATCTGCCTATATATGGGATGGGACAGGTGAAGAAAGAAAGATCTGGTGCTTTTTACATTGCCCAGGTATCTAGTAGGTGACACGAGATCAAAAAGTACCGTATTTTTCTGAGTATAAGATGCACCTTCCCCCCCCCCAAAAAAAGAGGGTAAGAATCTGTTCAGTCTTATACATTGAATACAGCATTTTTGGCCTTCCAAAACCCCACCCCCTTCACAAAAATGGACATGCAGAGGATTTGGGAGGTCTGCAAAGTGCTCCTGGGGCTGGGGAGGGCAAAAATGAGGGGGAAACGGGCCATTTTTTTTGCTCGTTTTTGCCCCCCTCCCCAGCCCTCAGGAGCACTCTGCATACCCCGTTTTTCACAAAAAACAAGGCATGCAGAGGGTTTGGGAGGTCTGCAGAGCGCAAAAACTTTTTAAAATTTACCTCTTCAAAATCTTGGTGTATGTTCTACTCCGGTGCATTTTATACTCCGAAAAATATGTTATATGTTGTTAAAATACCCACAGAGATTGTATGGAAAACTATATACAAATACTTACAAACTCATTTGTCCCAACTCATCTTGCATACCCAGAAGAAGATCAGAAAGCATTTCAGTAGCACAGGAAGTTGTGGAACAAGGCACTGGTTTGGAAAGGCCAGTCCATCTTGAAGTCCTCTTTTCAGTGCCTTCTGGACATTGTGAAGTCATACAAGGGCTACGGTATTTCATCATATGCAGGACACTCTGTACATTTGCAACAACAGAGTGACTTGAGCTGGCAGACTTGAGGGAGAAGCAGCAAAGTATAACATTTTGTTAAGCAAATAATAATTTGACTCAATTCTCATTTCCAAAGACACAATGCTTACCTTGCCAGCAACAAAAGGCAACATTCCACCCTGAAAGCTTGGTTGTGTTCTCTTCACAGTAGAATTATTCTGAAAATTAAAACCTGGATTTATTATTCATTGGGAAAAAAAGAAGTGAGGTTCTAAACTTTAATTAAAGAAGGGAGATGAATGAGAACTCTTTATTAATCCTATGCCTTATTACTTTTAAGAAAAAAATTTCAAGACTCGAAACTTCTTTGACACTCGACAAAATATGAAAGGTTATAGTTTTTTCTTTAGAACATTTAAGTTTCATGATATCAATATTCAAAGTATTTCTTATTACTGAATTACAGAAACACTTTAATCCTTTTTTGTGATTTTTGTTTGCCAGTCCTTTCCTTTCTTAGTCTTCTTGCATTACTTATCAAACATTTTCTGAATGTTTCCACAAACCTCAGAATAAGGGATGATGGGTACTCCATAAGGAAACAAGAAATCATATGCACAAATGGAAAACTGGGCGCAACTTAGGAAGTCAGGTAGGCTCAGACTTAATTATATAATATGTACTTACTAAAATAAATGGGATTTAAATTAGTCATAATTTTAAATGACTAATCCAACCTGCCTAAATCCAATTTGTTTCAATGGACCATTCTTAAATATATTTAAGAAATAATTTAAAAATTGATCCAACCTGGTTTCTTTTAGTTAAAAAAAATGGTCAAAAAGCATACCAAATAACATTGATCATTTTGAAACTTAGAAAAACCAAAATATGCCTAATGGAAATGTATCTTGGGATAATCCCCAGAAAAAATATTGGAATCCAGTTGGAAGGCTTCATTAATAGCCTAATAGTTTTGAGGAAAAGCAGAATTCAGTTGAATTTATTTGAAAACTACAAATAGGA